GGTAAATTATGCATTTGCAGACAATATGCATTTCAACAGGGATGTCCCAGGTAAAATTAGGTAACGCTGGACATGTGAGCGCAGGCAGAAGCTCTTATTTATTGTTCTCCATCTCCCGCCTGCAGCAGGGGGCAGCTGGCCAGCAGCAATCAGGCCTGTCCCCCATAGGCATCTTGTGGCAACCAGCTGAGAACAGCTGGCTTCCCCTTCTGCTACTAGCGGACCTGGACTCTGCTGGAAGTCCTGGAAAGGAGAGGGGCTTGTAAGAGCTGACAAAAAGCCAGTATTCACACACAGACAGGTTGTGCTAATGAAGAGGCCTCATTAGGCTGCATTTACAGTGTCTATAGAGGTGCGTTTGCTGTTCAGTCCAAGAAGGCAGAATCTCTTCAGCCTGTGTTTAGAGTTTTACTACAACCTCAATATAAAATTTATGTTAAAACATCCAAAATGGCACCTGTGTGATGTCAAACCGAAAGAAGCAGGGGGAGGGCTGAGGGGAAATACTTGCTAGGCGGACGGAGGGTTGGTGGGTGATGGGGATGACCACTGAACGGAAAAGGGACTCTGGTGTTATTAGATTTGCAACAAGCTGTAACACTGTCTCTCATTGTGTATACCTCCACCCCGGCCCTCCCCCGAACCCCTAACCGTAGAGAAGACTCCCAGTCCCCCCACCCCACCTCTGAACACCCACTCCTCCCCACAACACACGCACTCCCAGCTAAAGCTCGCTCTCCAGGCAATTGCCACTGGAGTGGAAAGTATTCCAGAGCACAATGCCTATGCTCTCAATGGGTGCTTTAGCATGCCACCAGTGCGCTGTCACCAGCAGATGGGGAGCTAATTAGAAACCATTAAAGGGCTTTGATAGTGTGTGTGGGAACCAGGCGGAGGGAGATGGCCACAGGGGTGTAAAAGGAGGGGGTGAGCTTTGGGTCCGGTGAACGCACACATACACATGAACACAACTGAGAGAAACAGATATAGAGGGACCAAGCTGTCCCAATGATTCCTCTCAGGCCAAGGACGCTGAGCAGAGGACACCTGGGTGGGGGGAACTTCAAGGATCTCCACAAGGTTCAGCTGCACACCAACTATCAGATGGAGATAGCATTCCTGTAACCTGCCCCTGCCTTTCAGGGAAGGGCGTCCATCCACCCACCCAGTCTGCTCCCTGCACACAGGAAAAACACCCAACAGGCGGTGAGGCTCCAGCCGGTCTGCACTTTTTGATGACACATCTGTGAACTGGGACTCCCACAGGAAGTGAGTCCTAACCACTGGTCCTCAGTCATTACACAGGCTGGGCTTGCCAGGGAGGTGCCAGGCCACGCCGGGGCACACGAGGATGTAAGGAAACACACCCACAGAAGGTGTGACGCACTATGTTTAAAAAACACAACTAAAAATCTCACACAGATCAGCACAAACTTTCTTCATTCTTGTGTTGAATGTGAGGAGCTTGAGGTGCCATGGGTCATCAATCAATCATCCGAGGATAGACGTGACATTGTGGTGCGGTACCACAAGTTTTATACCTGACACCACACTTCCCCCCAACCCCGCTTCTCCCTGTCCCATATGAGCCTCTCCACACACCTGCACACAGGTGTGATCATTATCAAGCAAACAGGAAGAGCCTGACTGGGAACTGGAAACTAATCCCACAGCTGCGAGGAGTGGCATGTGCATTTGTGTGTGTATTTGTGTGTGTTTGTATAGGTTAGTGAAAATTGTTGAAAACTTAAAAAGTGACACTCGCTTTTCATAATCAAATTCCTCCCCGTTTCTTTTCGACAGCGTATTTGGAGAATCATACCAAAGTTAAAATCCTCTGTCCAAGAAAGCATAATTGTGCTTTGGTCACTTTCATGTTTCAGGAAGTAGTACGAGGGCTACTTATTGTCCTTGCAGCAATAATAACAGCGGCAAAAGTGTCAAAGCATTACTGGAATGTCCTATTTCCTCCCAGTGAATTCCTGCACCAACTTTTGCCCCCCCCCACCCACCCATGCGGCTTCCTGCAGTGTGCTTTTATAGATCTGTTTGCCGTAGCGATAAAGAGGGCGTATTAGCTAATATGTTTCCCCTCCACCGAATGGAACAACTTATCTAGGGAAAAAAAGCTACCAGAAAAGTGTTTGTGTGCTCGCATAAATGCTGCAAAGATACACTGTGTCCTTGAAAGAAAAATACCAGCGCTTCTTTTTGCCGTTTGATGACGTGCGATGTTGCAAGAGCACTGACACAAACAGTAGCCTGTCAAAAATAAAAAGTTAAAACACAGAGCCATAATCAGCTCACATATAAAGAGTCCACGGGGAAATGAATTCTGTGTCAGTGATGAAGGAGGGAAGGGGAGCGGGGAGAGAAAGAGAGGGCACTGCCATTCTGTCAGTTAAAATCAGGAGCTAATATGTTTCACTTTTCTTTCCCCTCCTCTGCCTCTTCTCTCTGTCTTCTCTCTCTCTCGCTCCCCTCGCCTTGATGTGCTGTAAACAGGCTAAAAAGGGCCCAGCTGTGTGGAGTTATTGTTGGTGTCAGTAGGAAGTGCTGATAGCTTTTGCAGCTGAACAAAAGCTGGATGAGGGGAGTGGAGGGGCGCTCCAGACACTGTGGCTCCAGCCTAGATTCTCTCCCACAATCCCTGCACCGCACTCCCATTGTTCTGCCCACCCGGCCTTCCCTCCGCCCTGTCAGCTGCGACCTAGGACAGAGGGCAAGAAAAAAAAAGGGAAAAGAAAAGAAAAGACAAGAAAGTAAAGAAGAAAAAAGTTTTTACAGGCTACTGCAACAGCTAGAAGAAACAGCCGGTGGTAGTTGAGTTTGTTATACTGGCGTTATCTCTGGTATGGCACAACATCTGTGCAGATATAAGCAGCGGCTATAAATGGCATTTATATTAAAATGTGAAGAGAGCAAGCTATTTATAATTTCTTCCTCCTGCAAAAGGAATGATGCAAAGCTAAGAGTTCAGTCAGTCAGCGCAAATATCAAAATATACATTATTATTTTTTTATGTATATGCATTAAAACAACAATTACTGCAATTGTAAACATGGGCAGTGAAAGTTGTTGTTAGAAATATATTGTACGTATTATACAGATACTTGTGCAACGTTACTGCTTACTGTTCACTTTATTCGTGCATTACATTAATGCACTAGCTAGTTTTAATACCCATGCACAGCACTTTCTCTTAAGTTTTTCTGTTTTTTACATATTCTACACATTCCTGCACTGGACTGTAAAACTTTTCACAAAGGGAAACCATTTATATAATGTTTTCATTATGCATCTGTTTCTACTCCTACATATTTCTTGCAGTACTTGCTTTTACTTTCTGTTTCACGGGGATTGTTATGCAAATACCAAGGCAAATTATTTCCACTTTAAAACTTAGTTGAAAAAAAAAAACTGGTTTGGATTGTTTCAGAACTTTACCTGACGTGCTCAGTTTTCACACCAGCTACACTTAAAACTTTATGCCTCATCTATTAAACACTGTATAAAAGTATTATTCCATTAATAAATCAACAGTAAGATATTATGTAACAATATGACGCTTAGAGCGGCCATTCTATTTGCTTAATGGCATAAATTTTCCTTTATCAGCTTTTTTTATTTCAGATTTTCTGCATTATTTGCATGACAATAGCAGACAGGGAACAGAAATGCGTTTGATGCATGATGCATTCATACCGGTTCTCACTAACACGGTGGTCACCGGAATTCTTGCACATGTAATAAAATGCATGCATTTTTTTTTTAAAATAGTAACGTAGTGAATGTCGGTCGTTTGAAGGAATGCTACAGCTAGTTTGTGTCCTAACTCCTTTGTAGCTCCGGCTGACAGCAGCTGCTCTGCAGGTGCGCGGGGCGGTAATCTCATCCCGCTGCTTTAAGGTGATAAATGAACGACAAAAGCTCCGGAGCCGGTTTGTTCTCAGGGCTCCGCGCGCCACGCAGGTGAATGGAGGAGTGCCGGAGTGCGCGCTCTCTTGTTTAACGTCTCCATGGAGACCGCCCGAGCGGCGCCAGGCTGACAGGCGTCAAGGCTCGGATGAATGGGTGACGTCACCGCAGTGGCGCCTGCCAGTCTGCTCGGGCTTGTTTGGACAATCTGGGGGGAAGATTCGGAACAGAGCGATGCGATCTGAGTGCGCGCGCGCACACACACCCAGATACACGCACACAAGGCTGAGCGCACACTGCAGAAACATGTGAAGGAATCCGTGAAGCCGATGCTCACACTGGTCTTCCTTCAACGCTGAGAGCCAGGAAAAAGAGACCGTGCTCGTCCAAAGAAGTGCCGTTTGTGAGCATAAAGAAAGCTTTGAGTGAAGAGAGCGAGGATTTTAGGAGCGTGTTTTTCCCCAAATCGGTCAACACTGTGACATCGAATAGTAATAAGCAAATGATCGAGAAAATTGAATAAACTGCTTAACTGTTCAGACGCTGCATTCCACGCAAATCACGTAAATCTAAAAGAAAAAATGAAACCCTAATACACTTTTAGAAAAGGTTACTCCTTCCCAGAACTCCTTCCCAAATAAGTTCTTTAAACTTTTACTGTACTATTGTCATCCACATCTGCAGTGGCATCAACAATTGTGAAAAGGCACTGTGGTAGCCCAATTATCATTAGCCATTCATTCCATTCATCCCGTCCCGTCCCACACGCATTCTCACAGCGCATACCCAACCATTCACCACCCTTTGACTGTCCCCAGGCAATCTACACCTGCAGAGTCCCCAAGCCGTGGACAGCTGGATTCCCACATATTACCCATAAAAGACACACATTTGTTTCCATTTGTAACGCCATCCCTCAAACAGATTGTAAATCCCGATAACCAGCCGAGCGCTGTCACTGGCTGAGAGAGAAGTTTTTAACCGCCCCCATCAATACAAACGCAGCTGTCCCATTGGCCGTCCTGCTTCAAACCGGACAATTCGGCTCCGCCCCTGGCGTCTACTTTCTTATAAAGCCGGGGAGGTTCGCCCATGTGGATGTTGCGAACTGTCAACATTGCGTTGCTATCAGTCCTGAAAAAGGAGACCAACCCAATAACTCTTCTTTCTCGTCATTTTTGGAAGCTACACTAATCAAGATGAAGGTTGTCGGATCTACCTGTGCCCTGAAGAGCAAAGGCGAGGACGTGGTGCGCTGCCTGTCCGATCAGAGCCTGACCATCTCCAAGTGCAAGATCCCGCTGCTGGACGAGCAGATGAGCGTATTCCTCCAGGACATGAACAGCTGCTACAGCAAACTGAAGGAGCTCGTGCCCACTCTGCCGACAAACAAGAAGGCTAGCAAAGTGGAGATCTTGCAGCACGTCATTGACTACATCTGGGACCTGCAGGTCGAGCTGGACGAGCCGGAGAAGAGCCGCCAGCACACCGTCAGCAGCGTGCCCCGCACGCCGCTTACCACCCTGAACGCAGAGCTCGCCAGCATCTCAGTGGAGGTAAATTTCTCGCCACTCATACTGAATGAATCAGGGAATGGGCAATAGTCCAAACAGAGCTGCATGCATTCAGATAAAAACATGTATATAAGTGTCGGTGCGCGTGCGTAAAGTTTGCAAGCCCGTGCGTAAAAGCTCAATTTGCGCATGGATAACAACTCGTGTGCTTTGCTAAAAATATATATATATTTATGTGTATATATACCTGCGTTGTACTAATCAACCTACTTTCTTCTTCCAGCAGAACGGATGCTCAGATGACAGGATCATGTGTCGTTAAGAGCTCTTGGAGCATCGCCCCATCACATCACATCAACCACAGCGAGGGGATGAACAAGGCTACTTGATGTGACTTCTCGAACCGCATCAAGAATTACAACCTTGGAACTGTGTAGGGACGTTTCGTACTCCCAGTGTTAGATAACAAGTTGTGTGGACATTCTGCGGCGACGAGCCTCTCTTTTGTCGCTTAACGGTTCTCGATTTATAAGAGGGTCACGGGACGAGAGGAAGATGAACAGAGAGTGTCCAGATATAGACTGGGTTAGCCAGGGGACCAAGAGAAGTTCAGCGCAACCGGCATCGCCCGTTGCTTGCAGAGTTTCTAAAGAAAGCTAACGTTTCTGTTACTGCTCTTTGTATTTTGTGTAAACCATGTAGAGGATTCAACATTTTTTGTAAAAGATTTAAAAAGAAAAAAAAGTTAATTTCTCAGATTCCTGAGCGACAAACTGTATTGTATATTACAATGCCACAATATGTGAAGATATTGTTTTCTTACAATGTACATTATTTGGTGTTTTTATTAAAACAAGATCATTATTTTTGAACAAGATCCCTCTGTGTCACTGTGTCTGTGTGCGGGAGTGAGAAGGTATCTGACTCACGTGCTATACCTGGGGAGGTTTCGTTGCTGGGAGCTGTAACTGTGAAAAATAACACTGCATGGTGATTACGCTATGATGACCTTTAAAGCCTTATTAGCATTCCAATAAATCACACAAGTACACTCATATATTCTTATTTAGGAGAGCGTAAACTAGTTGTCACAGAAAAGTGCTACACCTACTTTCAAGTAACGTTAAAAACCAAAGCTGGTGGTAAACATACTGGTTCACAGCCAGTTTAATTGGTAATTTGACTCACTAAAAGCCATTAAAGTATCACATTACAAGAGGAAGTCACACTTTAAATCTACACATTTAAATATCCTTACAGATACGGTCTTGACAAAAACTAAATTAAAACCACGCATTAGTGACACACATGTTCTGTCGAAGGTTTTCATTTATTCCCCCAACATCTGTCGAATTCTGTGGCAAAGATAAGCCCATTGATCAGCAAATAAAATCAAATAAAAACAAAAGGCTTTTCTTCACTATATAAAACATCCATTTAAATATGGTGTTTCAATATGTTATCGTGTAAATCAGCAGTCGAAAAAATAAAAATCTGCTGGCACCGAAGGAGTTAAATGGCTTTGGCGAGGCGATTCGTTATAAGATTTATTCTGTCTCCCTGGTGCAATGTTTTTCCCATTTCCCTGCGGTGCGATGCGCACAGCTGCAGCCCCGGCGTGGCCAGTGTGTGATTGTGTTTGTGTGATAGCTTTGTGCCAAGGGCAGGGGAGGGCGGCGGGGCCCAGACTGAGCGGCGCCTCGGCACACCTGGGGAAGTTCAGGTTAAATAGCTCCACATTCCTCAACACACAGCTGATTGAAACATTAACAAACAGTAATCCACAGGCCAGGCCGCAGATGGGCCGGGAAACACGCCAACACCGAGAGAGAGAGAGGGAGAGACAGAGAGAGTTTGTCGGATAGAGATTCCCACAGTACAGTCGTATGCCATAAGTTTGCTATATATACTTAAAAGAGGAAAGAAAACAAGGGGAAAAAACAACTACACTGTTTTAGTTCTAGGAGAAGCTTCCACGAGTGGACTTATTTAACACTTTTTTCATCATTTATGATATTACTGAGCAGTTAAACTGTTAAACACATGTAACATTATCTCTGGGCCGGGCAGCCTCTATAAGAAGTTTGTACTTTTTTTTTAATTACAGTTAAATCCAGTCGGGACTGTGTCGAGGATTTTGGCCTCAGTCTTAATAACAATGATCATTTTAATCCCAGAGTCAATAAACATAAATCATCATCAAACCCCTGCCTCCAACTCCCCCACTCTATTGTCCTCTGGCGAGCACGAAAAACATTGCAAATCTTGATTATCCGCTGTGTACGTGTGTCATGGATGATAGAGGAAGACAGCAGCGCCATCGTGTGGCAAACATTACACATATCACATTTACACAGTATGGCGTGTTTTTACAGACGAAGGAGCTTACTGTACTGCGATAAATGAACTTTACTCGATTGTTGCCCTTTTCCATTATACCTTTTCTTTTGACTTACTGCTCAGCTGATTCCACACCTGTGATCTTTAATTGAAAACATGTAAACATGACTAATTATAGAATCAAAAACAAAGGATCACCAAGTCTTGCAAGAATCAGTAATAAAATATGAGGATGCAGATCAGAACTACTCACTCTCACTTTGTTTATGAACATATTACAGTGCATTAGCAGTAATGAAAAGTTTTGCTCAGTTACTGCAGATAAGGGGAAATTACAGGCCGTTTTCCACTTACACTCCAGTTACTGGTTTCTTTTCAGTAATACTTTAAATATAGCAGTATTTTCCTGTGGCTTAGTGTCTTAATGTTTCAGTTGTGGATAAGATGATAACAATTTAACCAAAGAGTCATCTCCCATCTAAACCTCCCAGGTGTTTTGATTCAAAAACAACTTTTAGACCCAAAGAAAAAGCAGGCATTTCATTTCTATATTTCTATATATATATATATATATATATATATATAAATATATATATAAATATATATATATATATATATATATAATATATATATAAATATATATATATATAATTATTATATTATATTTTATATATTATTATTATATATATATTTATATATATATATCAATATTATCTATATCTATTCTATTATCTATCTTATCTATCATCTACATATATCTATCATTATAGGAGTCTATCATCATTAATCATTATATCGTAGATATATATATACATATATATATATTATATATACAATATATATAGTATACATATATATATATATATATTATATATAATTTATATATATAATATAAAATATATATAAATATAAATATATATAGATAAAACTTATAACCTATATAATACTATAATAAAATATATAAATATATAAATAAAAGGCATGTGCACACTTTACAAACTCCGTATGCACTTCTGCAGCAGAGCTTTGTTGTTTCTTCTTGTCAGACTGATCAGTGTCAATTATTTGTGTTCTTATTTTACCTTCTTTGTTTGGATTTTGATTTCAGATTAGTTTTGACCCCATTAACTCCTTTCTTTGTCACATTTTTCTTTGTTTTGTCGAGTTACACATGATTGTACTTATTTACACCCTTTGATAAACAATTTAATTTAACTTGCTGTAACAAAGGAACTTTGGGATGCATTATTTTAAACAGCAGAATTCAGCGAGCAAAGCAGGGAGTGTGATTTCATATGTAAATATCACTCCGTTTCCACACTTCCTGTCCGGTCAGAAGTACTTGACAAAGTTGTGATGACCTACTCGACCATCCAGAGATCGATCAGCTCCTTCAACCAAAACCATTCTCTTTTACGCCAAAGCATTTCACAGAAACTACAAACTGATACTTTGTTATAAACATTAAGTATTTTTGCTTTATGCAGATTGCACATTAATAACTGAATGTTGATAAATTTGCAAAGAGTCAGTCTATACATACATCCAGGGGGGGAGGGGAAAAAAAAAAAAAAAGAACCATGAAATCAAATTTATCAACTGAAAACTGTAAAACTTTGTGTATTGTGGATGTGAAAACTTAACTAGGGACAAGGATTGTAAATTTGAAATGGCCTTAAAGTCATGAGTTTAACATTTTGCGTTAGAACTATATTAAACTGCATCGTTCTTTTAAAAAGAATGATTCCCCCCCCTTTACAGAAGCCCTCTCAGTGTAAAATATTTTGCTGTGCAATGCAATACTTATTCAGGAATCCATTTACTTTCATTGTCTCATTTCTAAAATATGGTATTGTTTTGTAATTGGAAGTTTTCTTTTATCATTATTGTTCTTCTTTATGTCACATAGCTTAAGTATTTAAGAAAGAAAATAAGCCCACAAACTTTATTTCTTTATGCCCTGAAAGTGGAAACCGTTTCCAGGTTGACTAGAGTGTGATACTGAAAATACAAGGAAAGCCTAACAGAACACCAAATCCTTCACGTCTTATTTTCAGTAACTTGACAGCAGAAGCGCCCCTCCTCCTCGCATCCATTTTGTACGATCAAAGTAATCATTCTGACAACACAGCGCACCCGCTGATATTTACTGACGTGTAGAGAACTGCACACAGGCATCACAGCTTATGAACAGTAAATAATTGGAGAGCCAGAGCCAGGAGTGTTTAAATAGAAATTTGTATTTTATATCAATATCAACATCAACAGAGAGAAAAAAAAAAAATCTGTAATATACATCCTGTAAAATAACAGCTTATCTTACCTCCAAAGAAAGAAAAACAAACCAAATGATCTCCTGCCTCTTTTTTGCACTTCATTCAAACTTCAAGATTTTTTTAAATTTTTTTTATTATTATTATTTCTTTTTCTCCTGAAGTAACAAAGTCTGGACATAAGATGAAGTTGTTTCCTGAAAAATAGATGAGATATTGATATGTCTTAAAGTGGATGTTTTTTTTTGTTTTGTTTTGTTTTTTTCTACATCACAACAAAACATGCGTGTTTTTTTTTTTTTTCCCAGTCCTCTCCCCACTGCACCTCACTTTCCCACTGTGGAACAACCCATCTCATGTCCATAACCACCCAAAGCTTTTACAGATCCAATGATATGTACCCATTTACCATCAGAATAATATAACACAATGTAAAAAATGTACACCAGAAACCTCAGAAACTATACATGTGGAAAAACATCTTTGGATTGCGCATGTTGAAAAGGTAGATTCAGCAAGCTGATAACAGTCGAAACAGAACATCGTGTGAATAATAATAATAATAATAA